ATTTTTATTATATATTAAAAATACATTTAAAATAGAAGATGGCAATCCTAGTATAGTGATTGAGTAGTCATTCTCCAAGTGGCAAGTCTAAGGTTCAAATCCCATCTATGATGAAATTTGGAAATTATATCTGCATTATGATAACTGTCTCTTGTTAATCAGTTGGCCTCATGTGGCTATTACCCAGGTACATCAAGTTGGATCCTTCTAATATTGGGAGCTCAGACATCTATATGAAGTATAATATTATATGTACATAGAGGAATTTATAACTGGTGTTGCATAAAACTTCAGTGCAAACTTATGATAAGACCATCAGGTATAGAAGACTAAGGAACTGAGATAACAGAAACCTACTTGGAAATTTCTGAATAAAAAGGTAGCATGAACTTTTGACAATACTATCAAACCAGTTGAAGCCTATGAAACATTTTTATAAGAACTGAAGGTTAAAACTAGACATCAAATATATGTAGAGGAGCATATAATCAACCAGGTCACCAGATTCACTAGAGAAAAAGAATACAGAGTATACTATATCAGGCTATCTGGATTGGTAATCTGAAATAAGACTGATAGTTCTGAGTTGCAGCTAGTAGGAGATAATAGAAAAAATGCCAGAAAGATAGGTACTGGAGTTCTAGTAAACTTTACAAGAGTAGAAATAGTATAACATAGTGGTTAAACAGGTAACCTCTGTAACTGCAAGTGTTAAATAACTATAGCATATTGCATAAAACTAGATTTATATATATAGAACATAAAGGCTCTAGTAAGTTTTCTGTCAAAGATAAACTAGTCCTAAAGATAACAACAAGCATCAAGAACTTGGATGGGTGTAGCTTTGAAATGTTCTTGTGATACAAGAAGGACTGCATATATAAAGAGTTTAAATAGGCAAGATCCTTAGTTGGCTTGCAGGTATAGCAACTAGTGTAGAACTTATATAGTAATATGTAAGCAGACTACTTAAATTAGGTACCAAAAGTGCACATGTGGCTAGTTATAACTTTTAATATAAAGTGAGCTCTGGTGGCATGCCATGTCCTAATATACTTGAATAAAAACATTGCATCCTCAAGATAAAGACTTTAATTATAAAAAAATAAAAAATAAAAAATATATTTAAAATGCTATATAAGGTAAAGAAAGGTATTCTGGCAGGAATAGGTAATGTGGTAGATCTATATATTATTGAATTTTTGTGTGTTTTATTGATTAGAAAGTAATAATACTTATACCATTTGATTTGTTTCACCAAGACAGATCGAATGGTGTAAAAAATATTCAATTCTGATCAATGGATTGCAAGATACTCGTACAAATAATCTTTAATTTACATAGAGTAATTAATATTGTAGTGATCGTCATAATGCATATATTTAACTGTTACTCAATTGGCATTGAACTTGAAGTTGTTTTGTTTTGCATTTTGAATTAATCCCAAAAATTTTGATTATTTCATTATTAATAATTTTAGTAATTTCATTAATTTTAAATATTTAAGAATTTTACTTGTTTGTAAAACATTGCGATCAAAGAATATTCAGTTGGTTGAACTTTATTCCTAGATTCATTAGATCTGCTACAAGTTACTATTAGTTTTATGCCCATCATGATAACACTAATTTACCTAAAGTATTGCTATTGAAAAATGTAATATAACTTATGTATTCAAATAATAGCTCTAGTCTAATGGAGCTAATAGAGCTTTTTTTTCAGCTTTAATCTTAAAAAATAGATTCTTATAAAGCTCTGCTATTAAAATGCATAATATTAGAACATTGGCAATTTATAAAAAAACATGTAAAGATTAGATCATAAGTTATAATTATTTAATTTATAACATCAAACAAAAATGACCTGCCTACTCAGAATTTTATTAAAATTTTTTTAATCTTGAAAATTATAATTTTTAACCCAATAATATAAAAATTAGATCCATGAAAATTGTAATGCAAATAAATTAAATTATTATTATAATAATTAATACCAAGTGGTTGAAGTTGACTTTTCTTATTAAAGCTAGGTATTTTATCACTAACATGCTGTTGTTATTACTAATAATTACAATTGATTCTAACAAATTTAATCAGTTAAATTAGTAATTGAATTCAAATGATACATCTGGTTTATTTCAGTTCCTACCTCTTGTATGAATTTTTGAAAAGTGCATTTGTTAATGCTTTTCTTTCTTCTGCTCTAAGTTCATTTTGTAAAGAAGTCAGAATAGTTCTTTTGCAAAATGCATTTTCTAAATGCTTTTTTACCTTTAGATCCTAGTTTATTCTGATAGATGCATCTACTAATGCTTTTCCTTCTTATAATTCAGAACTATTACTCCAAAATTCTTGTGATGTAAATTTGCCAGTTCTACTCTGAAATCTCGAAAATCAAAATCATGAAACTTAATTGTCACATTGTGTGATAATTTATAATCATTGTTATAATTATAAGATGTTCTCACTATGATATAACAATTAAGTTTCAGGATTTTGATTTGCAGAATTTTAGAGTAGAACCAAATTTGCCAGTGTTTTTCCTTATAATTTAAGTTTGTTCTGACCAAAATCCAAGAAAGTCAGTGTCATGTCTTGCTTAGTGCATCTGTTAATGCTTTCTATTGATTTAAGAGTATTTCAAAGATTTATATCATTAGGATATGTTCTTACAAAGTGCATTTACTAATGCATCTTCCAAAACAGCCAGTATAGCATTCTTGCAAAGTGCATCTACTAGTTCTTTTTTTTTCCTATTCTTCTAATTCAAGTTCATTATATCCAAATTCAAAATTTTAAGCATAGTATTCTTGCAAAATGTATCTACAAATGCTTTTTTTTTCACATCCAAGATTATTTATTGCTTTTAAATTTAATTAGTTAACTGAAGTTCTTGTAAAATGCATTCATCTATACTTGCTAGCAAACTTAGACAAATCCTAAATCTAAAAAAATATAATTGCACTTTACAAAAAATTAAATCAAACAAATAATCATGATAATTTGCAAATATATTATACATAGCTATGAAAATATATATCATCTATTTAAGTAAAGATTATTAATAAAGTTGTTGAGATATTGGTTTGGCCAGAGTTTGGAATTTAGGAATAGACAAACCTAATTTGGGATTTGAAGCGACAAAGTATACATTCATCATTGGTTTTCCTTTTTATAATTCATTATTCTATTTAAGATTTAAAGTTAGCAAAGCATCCTTTCACAATGCATTTCTTCTTTTTAATTCATTAAAATGCATTTTCTTCAGTTCAAGATCATCTTTGAAGATTCATTCTTTAGTACAGTTTTCTTGGAAAGATGTCTGCTAATGCTTTTTTACCTTTCAATACAGATTTATTAAAACCAGAAACCATATAAATCAAGATGATATTCTTGTGCATTGCATCTGCTAATGTATTTTTAATACTAATATTCAGGAAAATTAGTAGAGATTTATTATTTTATAAGCTTATAAATGAGTTATCAGAAAAAAATTTTGATTGGCTAAGATAATTTGATTATCAAAAAGTTTTGGATAGCATACACAATAAAATAAAGTTGTAAAGTATTATAACACGTGAAAATTACATAATAGTCTTAATTCTGTAAAGATAAATTTGTATCCAAATGTTTAAAAATTTCTCTATGTAATTTAGCTTTTTCTTTCTTATGAAAAAAAGAATAACAATTATCAAAAAACTTTCTAAAACCCAAGTAAATTCTTCTCTTATATGAAATAATTTAACAAAATTACATAATTCTAAACCCTCAAGAGTAAACTAATATTTATTTTTTATATCATATCAACCACTATTATCATCACATATGGCCTTACATATTTCTTTGTATATAAAAATAATGTACTTCATTTTTTTAAGCAGTTTATAACTATCAATAAAATTGGCAAAAAATCTTACAAAAATATTTAATTCTATGAAATTCTCTATAACTGGCATTATAATTTTCTATAGATTCAATCATCGCATCTGTAACATCCAATTTTAGCAAATATTTTATAGTACGATTTAAGCATTTATAAAGAATCAGGAGCATATAGTTTATTCGATCCTTAAATTCTCCATTGTCATAAGTATTTTTGATCAAATTATTACAGAATATCAAGAAAGGATCATTCATTTCTTTCTTGGTAAGATAAAATACTTGAGTCATTTTTTGCAATAAGTATAAAAAGATTATTTTGATATTAATCCATTTTTTTGAATAGGGACTGTGCAGGATTTTTATCTTGAAAATAACATTATGAGAATAACAAATAGTGATTATTACTGTATTATGTCTCATAAAATCAGTTTCAAAACAAAGACCTTGAATTTTGCATACTAACATTAATCAGATCAAATTTTTGAGATGCTTTTACAAGAATAACAAGTAGGATTATTACTATATTATGTCTTGTAAGATCATTTTAAAACAAAGACCTTATACTGTTTAGAACTAAATTATTATATAAGATCGATTTCTTAAAATAGATTATACATAATTTGTCTTTTGTCATTTTTTTTAGTTAGTATCATGCTGTTAAATTTTTTAAACAAAAGCTGAACTCCTAAATTAAGAAAAATAAAACTATTTAGGGTTTAGATTTTTTTATACCAAGTTTTTAAAAGTTGATTGATGTCAAATTAAGGTTTAATTTAAAATATTTTTCAAATTTAGATTTTGAACAAAAACTGGATTACCAAATTAAAAAACAAGACTTAAAATTTTTGAATTATTTAATATCAACATTGTATAATAAAATGTAATAATATAACAACATGGCATTATTATTTTATTTACATTTATTGGTTAATACTAAATAATTGTTTGACAACTTATCAATATAAAATAATATTTGTTTGACAGCTTTAACTTATCAACATCAAAATTTATTTAAGCCCTCTTTTTTCCAGTAAATTACTAATTTTTTTTAAAAAAAAAATTAAATAAACTATTCTATGATTATCTTAAACAATCATCGACTAAATAAAATAAAACAAAATGTTAGTTAAACCCAAAAATAAATCTGTACAAAAAAATTCTAAATCCAGATTCAAAACTAAGTTCAAACCAAAAATTCAGAAAAATAATAAAGCATATTATCTTAATGCTATTGCAAATGCTCTTGAAGCACTTAATAACACTAAGTGTCCTAATATATGTGCAACTGCCTGAAGATTTGGTATTGCATAAACAACCCTTAGACATGTGCATAAAAATAACAATGTGCCTAATCATCCTGGTCCTAAAACAGTTTTAAGTGCATATAAAGAAGTACAATTAGTTGGCTACTGTAAGAATATGCAAAAATTAAACTTTGGGCTGACCTAGTCAGGAGTTAATCACTGTGTTATAGAAATTGTGTGCCATAATAAGCATAACTATCTATTCTCCAACAAAGAACCTGGTAAGGCCTGGTAGGCATGTTTCTTGAAAGATCATCTTGATTTATCTTTTCATATTCCCCAGGCCTTATTAGAGGTACATGCACAGAGAGCAAATCCAGTAATCATAAATGACCATTTCAAAAAACTTCACCAAATCATTTAAGAGCACTCACTTACTCCTAATCACATTTGGAATATGGATGAAACTGGTTTTGTTCTCTTTCCAAAAATTCAAAAAGTTATTTCAACAAAGAGTACCTGTCAGATTCATAAGGTTTTGCATAGTAATATGACTGATCATATTTCTGTTGCACCAACAATCTCTGCTTCTGGTTAATATATTTCATCATTAATAATATACAAGGGTGTTTGTATGATCTTAGGTAAAAAATAGTAATCTAAAAATTATAAATATTTGTTGTGAGCCATTGAAAAATATAATAATAATAAATAAATAAATAAAATTAATTTAAGTTATTATTTTTAATTCCAGGTTTATTAGAAGAAGCTCTGGCAGATAGTGTTATGGGATTTACTGAATCTGGGTATATGAAAGAACACCTCTATAAAATATATCTTAAACACTTTATTAATTCTATACCACCTATTCGCCTAGTCCTGTTAATGCTTAATGGTCATACAAGTTACATTAATTATTTGTATGTCAATTTTTGCCATGAAAATGAAATTTTGTTGTATGTACTTCCTCCATATACAACACATATTCTTCAATTGTCAGAAATCTCTTTTGCAAAACTCAAAAATGAATATAATAAAAAATATGATAAACTCTATAGAAAAAGAGGTGAATTAGTAACCAAACATACATTTGCCAAAGTGCTTGGACCAGCCTTTGCTGCAACATATACAACTATGGCAATTACTAATGCATATAAAGCAATAGGAATATGGCCTTTTAATCCTAATGCAATTACTCCTGATTGGCTTGATCCTTCATTAGTTACTGAAATCTATCTACCAATATCTCAACAAATTCACCAAACTAATAATAACATACCTCCAGTATCAGAATTATTGCAATCAACCAATACTTATTTTTCTTTAGAAGAAGAAGTTGCATCTCTTAGAAAAGAAGTTAAATTGCTCAAGGATGAAACTTCTTCTCTAAAAAAAAATTATTCTTTTATTCAAGAAGAACTCGAAATATTTAAGAATCTCGATACTTGTTCTCTTAAGCTCATGCTTAAATATCCTACTCGACCTTCATGAGATGTTGAATCAGAAACTAAAGATAGTTCTGTTCAACCACAAAAAAAAAGAAAAACTTTACTATTTGCTCAGCTTCTTACTCATGAAGAATCATTAAAAGAACTAAAAGAAGCTAACAAATTGGCTAAAAAAAAAGCTAAGGCTGCAAAACAAAAAAAGGAAGAAGCTATTCATAAAAAGGAAGTGGCTATTCATAAAAAGGAGATGGCTATTTGTGAAAAGGAGGCAAAAAAACAAAGTGTTAATGAGAAATCGAAAACAAAAAAGAGGACAAAAAAACAGTCAGAAGTAACATGATAATGATAAATATTTAATAAACTCATATTCATATCTTAGATTCTGATTAGCTATTTATTATATACATTAAATTTCTGTTAATCCATCGATCTGTCACTTTACCCTCCTGAACATTGAGGTTACTTTGTATTAATAAAAGTTGTGCAAATACAAGTCAACTTGTCTTCTTATTTGATTGTATAATTTAATAAACAAAGAATTATGTTATATTGAAATAAAATTTGTAATTAGTAATATTTTAAGAAAGTTTTACTATAAACAAATCTTGATGAATTTTAATTCTGCCAGAATACCTCCCTCTATCTTATATAAGAATTAATTACTTAATTGTTTAATTTGGTCAGTATTAGAATAATTCTAGCTCATGACCAACATAATTCAGTCTAAAGCTATAAAGCAATTTTTTTTTTTTTTAGTATTAAGATGACCTCTTTGGTCTTTTAATTTTTATTAATTATTTATCAGTATTGTGGTTCAATGAACTACTACAAAAGAAAGTACAATTGTTTACACATGTAACTTTTTTATATTATCTATTTAAGGAGTCTGCTCGAAAGTTCTTTACCAATTGCTATACCTAACACTCCTGCTTGGATGTTCTACTTTAAACTCTCTGAATCTATAATCTGTATTAACTTACTGAGTTATATTCAGAGACCAGATCATTGTCTCAACCTTAGGACTAATTTATTCTCAAGATAAATCCTTTAAAGCCTTCTGTACCTATTTTTATAGCTGATCTAGATATCGCTATAGCAGAACCAACACTTGCGATCAGAGCTAACCATTGAACTGCTATGCTCTTGTAGAGTTCACTTAAACCTTAGCATCTACTTCATAGCATAACTTTGGTATTTTAGTATACCTCTGCCTTTTTATCAGCCTTTTTACCAAACTCCCAATTCAGATAGACTATATAAGACTACGATCAGTCCATCAGTATATCAGATTGACCTGATATTCTTTTTCTCTGGTTCGTTCTAGTGGCCTGGTTGATAGTACTTCAGAGACTCCCAATTCAGAGGTCTTGCCTGTCTGGCTACTACGACCAGGTATTATGACCTTGGTATCCATTTTTCCAGCCTAGCCTTTACAGTAGGATCATTGAAAATCCAGCTATTCCTCTACTTAGGTCTTCTCAAATGGACTTCTTGTTATACAATTTCAACAGATTTATATAGCCACAAGAACTTATCTAGTGTTTGCACTATTCGATTTGTTAGTTTGCATTCCTTTATATAACACTATACTTACACAGATACCCTATAACTTGCTAGTTATACTAATATGACTGCTATTACAGATATCCTAATCCAATCATTAGTAACAGTTGCTATAATATAAATATTACATAGGTGATTATCTAAATTTTTATTGTTGATGAGATTTGAACACCCAACCTACTACTTGAAAGGTTGACAATCTGATCATTTCACTAGGTTGCCACACCCTATAGCAATTTTTAAATAGTTTTAATCTCTATATATATATAATAAATAATATTATTAAAATATAAATAATATATATTATTAAGCAAAAGAATAGCATTGAAATTACAAAAAAAACCTAATATTAATAAGATACAAAAATATAAATCAAAAGAATTAAAACTGAAATAAGAAACAAACTTTAATTAGAATAAATGTAATAAATCTCCAAAGACAATAAATATAAAAAGGCTCATAAATCATAAATATATATGTTTACTAATTTTATTGAAACTATTAAGCTTTAATAAGATTATTTAAAAGTTAAAATTGATTGGTAACTGTTGGTTATGAGAAATAATATTGATTATTAAGATAATGCTAAGAATAAGAATAAATATAAAACACTCATTACTCATTAAGCACCTATAAAGATAAATTATATTAGTAATACATGAGTGACAATTAGTGAAAATCTGTAAATCAATTCATTATATCAGACTTACTCTAGAAAATCTTAGCATTAGCATTATAATATATTAATTAATAAATTAGTATTAAAATTATATACTATATAAGATTAGATTTTTTAGATGCCAAGTTTAGTATAGTGAATTGATTTATAGGTTTTTACTAACCATATCTTTAAGATTATAATCAATACAAAATTATCTTTGAAAAAAGATAAACATTCAATATTCATTATCAGGAATTAGTAAAAATTGAGTATGTTAATAAAACAAAGAATTTTAAATATTAGTGTTATACTGAAATTAGTATAACATAAAATATTTATCTATTATTACAGATTAGCTAAGGCAGGTCATAATATAATAATCAGCACTTTCTGGTATTGCTATCAAAAGAGAAACATTGTTGAAAAAGATAAATATAAACATTTATTAATTAGTAAAAATAGATCATACTGATAAAACATATAATTCTAATAATTGTTTTTACAATAACATTAAAGTCAAAATTTTACCAATATGAGTTATATTGAAGAAATATATAATCATGTGTAATCTAAAACTTGTTATGAAAATAGAGATATTCAGTAAAGTAGTACTATACACCAGTACAGGCTTATACAGATATACTAAATTTTAATAATACATATTGTTAATATAAGCTTGTAAAATTTAATTTTTATAAGCAATCATTTTTAATGATTAAGATTAAGATAAGTATGGTATTATCCTAGTGTCATTCTTTGCATGCTTTAGATTAGTAGTTAAGTAACATAGTTAATGAATTTTTTCTTTTACAAACTATATATACTATCTTGATTTCTATTCCAATTTGTGTTTTTATATTATACTACTTTATTATATACTTCAAAAATAGTAAATAAATTGAAAAAGTTAAAGTTGCTAAAATAGAAATTATTAATAGAATATATTGTAATAAAATTTACTAAAAACTAGCAAGCTGTAGTAATTTTTAATAGCATGAGTGCTGAGTAGAAGATCTTT